GGCATACAACTTTGAGTATTATGTATAAAGCTTGTCTGAAAAAAAAACATAATTATTTTATTGAGGGGCTTGGGAAAAAATGGTTCCCATTACTGATATCAATTGCCTTTTAAAAGGTTTTCCATTTTTTTATTTCGTTTTCCAGAAGATCCTTCTCCCACTTTATCCCTTTATCTCTCTCCCTCTGTTTATCTCTTATTGTGTATCAATGATCAGGCATTTACTTCTAATCGAAGTAATTGTAGATAGATTTTTGCAAGCAAAAAGCATTTTCCTACAACCAAAGGTTTAAAATATGGGTCAGGAGAAATGAATATCTGAAATTTGCCAATTGTAGACATTTTGGTATTTTTATTTTGTTACTATATTTTTATCTTAATAATTTTGACTATTCTAGTCTATATAATATGAAATGAATATAGAAAACAGTATGGAGAATATATTCTTTGGCAGTTGCAAAATCCAAAAGATAGTTCCTTTACGTAATATTATGGTTGGAATGGTTGATGTCAACGAGACAGAAAAATAATAATGCTAATATTCTCCGCTGCCAGCCAACGATAAATGCTCTCTATTACAAACCGGGGAAAAATATGGGTTCATGCCTTTCATGTTTGCTGTCTCAACCAAAGTTTGAACTTCAGAACATTTCTATATTCTAACCACTTCTCTGCTCAGTTAACAAAATGACATTGCGCCAATGTTTCTATAACGTTATGTAAAGTTTCCAAAAACGTTTTTAATAGCCCCCACCACACCTCACAGACGTCTTCACAACGTTTCCTTTTATGATTAAAAAAATTATTTTGTAACGTACCAGATACTCGACAGAAGGATGGAAAATAAATATCAGGACGGTATTAGGATGTGTAACTGCTCAGCAACCTCAATAATTTCGGGAAAGATATCAGAATAATCAAGAACTTATACTAGCAGCAAACAGTATTCATGCGCATAGAGAACAAGTTCCGCGGATATACAAAAATAGAAAGCGGCGTAAGGCAAGAATGCGTCTTCTCACCCGACATTTTCCCGACCTATACGGTGAGGGAATTCTGAGAGAATTGGAAACCCTACCGGGATTTAGCATTGGCGGCCACAATCTTAACAACGTAAGATACACAGATGACACAGTATTGATAGCAGATACGGAAAAGAAATTAAAAATCCTCCTACAGAATGTAGCGACGGAGTGAGAAGGAAGGACTAAGCATAAACTACAAGAAGACGGAGTGCATGGTCGTCAGTAAGAAGATGAGCCCGATATGCGATCTGAAGGTCAGGGACACTAGAATCAAGCCGACGCGGAAGGTTAAATACGTGGGAAGCGTCTTAACAGAGGACGGTAAGTGCGACACTGAGATCCGTAGCCGTATTGGGATAGCCAAGGACACATTCCAAAAGGTAGGCAGAGTACTGCGAAAGAGGAGGATATCTTTGGTAATAAAGAAAAGAATACTGTACTGTTACGTGCCATCTGTCCTTCTTTATGGCTGAGAAAGTTGGACGATTTCCTCAAAAATGAAAATGAGACTCGAAGAGATATAGTTCTACAGAAGGATGCTAAGGATATCATAGACCAAGCGTATGAGCAACGATGAGATCTTGAAATGGTTGCAAACAAGGAGGAGGCTTATACTTAACATCAGGAAGAAGCAACTGAATTTTATGGGATACATAATGAGGAAGGTGGGCCTGGAGAATCTGATAGTCACGGGTCGAATAGAGGGAATGAGAGACAAGGGAAAACAACATACCTGATGAGCTTAAGCAAGTAAATGACAGAACAGGGTCTGGGGGAGGAAGCAGATGGAAGGAACTTGTTGAGAGCTGCAAGGGATAGATGATGAGGACAGCCTACGTCATGAAAGGACATGGCACATAAAAATTAAAATAATGAGGAAGCAGGGCCTGGAGAATCTGATACTCACGGGTCGAATAGAGGGAAAGAGAGACAAGGAAAAACAACGCTTGACATACCTGGTGGACTTAAGCAAGTGGATGACAGAACGTGGTCTGGGGGAGAAAGCAGGAAAGGAATTTGTTGAGAACTGCAAGGGATAGAAGGAGGTGGAGAGCCATGATCGCTCGCCTACTTCCTGAAAGGAATTCACCGACTAAATCAGTGATTCGTAGTTATGTATTAAATGAAGAAAAGTCATTCTTATATCATTTATCTAATGCGGGAGTTTTCAGATACTGAAATTCGCAACGTAAATTATGTTTCTTCATTAGGAAAAGTTTAATCTCTTCCTTATGAGGAAACATTCGGCATTAAATAACGGTAAAGCGAATTCTACAGTCGTTAGCAATAGATAAAATCCTTCTCTTAACCCTTTGAACACTGCGTTCCTTAACAATTTTAACACTTCTACCTGAGCTTCTGAGTCAAAATTCGCAAATAATTGGTATGGCATGGTAGATATAAAAATTGATACGAGTGTTTACCCACCGTTCAACCGGTGGCTGGGTATTAAGCCATTTTTCTCTACCACCGGTA